CAGGAAGACGGCAGTGACCAGCGCAGCTGGGTTTGCTGGTAATGGCTTTCATACTTCGCTGCCAAGTCATTGTTTGACCGCCTCTGGCTCTCTTCCACCCTTCACATGGTTGGGCGAAAAGAGCCCTTCGAGGAATTCGGTCGACTGGCATACGCAACACGTGGCCAAGCCAGCGCAACCTGTGCAGTGTGATCAGTTCATCTGTCGAGGGTGAGTTATTTCTCCCGAATACCATTCGACGTACTTCAGAATTGCTGATCCGGTGTTCCCACCAGATTCGGGCAGTGCTCCGAAGACATCGATGGTCAAACACTGAAAGTCTTTTGACGTCCTCGGCGCGCAGCGGGCAGGTTTCTGATCCATATATTAATATGGAGCGCAACGCAGTATTGTAAACTCGACCCTTGACAGAGAAACTGGTGTCACGCCTGCGCCACAGGTGACGTAGGCTCGCGAAAGCTGCTCTGGCCTTCCCAATACGGATGGAAATATCATCTTTCGCGAGACCACCGGGACTGATACAGCTGCATTAGTAAACAAATTTGTCTACTAACTCAATCGGTTCATCCGCAAGCATGAGGCTAGGGTTCGAGCCCAGTCTTGCTTGCAGTAGCACTTAACACTTTGCAGGTGTGAAGCGCATACCAAACCGCGAGGCAGCACGTTATCTGCATACCCGTTGGTGAAGGTAATTGAAGCGCATACCAAACCGCGAGGCAGCACGTTATCTGCATACCCGTTGGATTGTGAAGGTAATCTCATCCACGAGACCCACTGGAGCTGATTTATACCCTTTTAGTTATTGGTTTAGCATCAGCTTTCAGGGTTTTTCTGTGGACAGATAACCATTGGACCGTCAACCGATCCATAGCGCTTGATGCTTGCCTTCCTGTTTTCAGTTTGATGGGAATATCTTCAGTAGAATGTATAAGGTTGGACCTATTCAGTTTCCACACTGACTAGTGCCCACTAGACGGTACGTCCCATCGGGACAGCAGAGTTGCACGACGTTGTGACAGTCGCTAATGGTTACGTGCTCTCGCTGCTGCATACTGGGTATTTGAACTAAATATATTCCCATTCTGGGTTACCAGATTGTGGCTTTGACCAGCCGATCCATTGCCAAAACTGAATGGACAAAGCCCGATTTCACGTGATAGGCATGTGGATGGTGCCGTACTAGTGTGCTGTAACCACTGTTGGTTATGCTGGTGTAGTTTCATATTAACTTCAAGACACAATTGAGCGACTTTGTTATTTTGGTAATCAAGGTCTCACGTGACCTCATTACCGTTCTGCACACTTATTAACGTATTTCGAATCAAGACCACTTTATCGTGCTCCTTCCCAGTGCAAAGTAATTTTCAGCATGGAAACTGCAGGAGATAGAAATGCTGATCTCACTGAGTTTGATATCAAAGATAGCTTATAGACACCCACTGGAGACAGGTCCATTTAGGGTGTTATTCGTTTTTTTTAATGCTATCATCTCTGACCAGTTCGTCTTTATAACGTGCTCTCACTATCTTGGACGTTCATGAATGTAATCAATCAATACCAGCATCCAGCCTAATGTTGCCACGCTTTGTCTTGCTTCAGGCTATCTTGCCTTCAACCGGTTTGGCTAACCAAAGGCAATCCTCCCATGTTTATTTGCTCGATTTCTCAGTCATTTCCAAGCTCCACGCAAGAAAAAAAGTCTATTGATGTGTCGACCAACCACACTATGGTACCGGTGGCAGCTGTTTTCGTGGTACGTAACTCAACGGTCAGCCTGCAGCGAGTCATCTATATGGACTGTTTCTCCACCAGTCAGTTCTTTTCTAGAATACCGGTACTGCCGTCAGCAATATCGACGGTTGGGCAAAAGTATGACATGGCTTCGTTAGGTCGGCCTAAAAACACCCAATCGGACTACAACCGTATTCTTCACTGCCTTGCGTACACAGGTAGGTACGTCCTTCAGTTGTTCCTCAGTAAAATCACCTAATACATTAATATATTTTTGGAAACCTGTGGAAAGTCACCCGAGAATAATTTTTGGAATCTGCCCTGACCTCTTGTTTTAATAACGAGGATTGCTTTGGTATGGTCATCATTCAACTCTTGCGTCGGGGAGACTATACACATTCTACCTTTGAGATACATGAACAGATAGTTCATACTGCAAATAAGGTTCTTTGGCTGCAGAACTCTGCCAGTTGGCATGGATGAAACTTGATGAGAGATCTTTCTTTGTGCATCTCCCATATCGCTTGATTGTAAACCACTGGTCCAGTTTCCGAAAGTCTTTGTGACATTCGAAAATCCTTCTTTCCTTTGTTCGGTTCAGAGAACCATCCTTAAAATCGCCATGGTATATCGAAAGGAAGCACCTAAGTCTGGTGTTCCTCTTTGGAAATTTCAGATAGTTCAGTACTTGAGTAGTGCCTCAACTAAGGAGAAATTCTACACGAATCGAAAGTCACATAATTTGTCCTTTACGTAATTCACATAATTCACATAATTCCTCCTTTACGATTCAGGTTCGATTAATTAAAGCGCGCTCCCCCACTTGTTACAAAAACTAAGTTAGCACTCCACACAGGATCGGATGAAATCCGTTGCTGTTTGTCTCTGGCAAATATGTCAATTTTATGGAATATCGATCTTTTGACACCAAGAACGAAACACACCTAATCCACCGAATTGAATTTAATGACAAAACAAGAGAAAATAATAACCGAAGTATTCGAAAAATGTCGTAAAACGAGTATTTTTTCAGTATATGGGGTTGGGTAGGCGCACTTCGAAACGGATGGTCCACAACCTTCATATTTGTTTTGTATTGAGTAATTGATTCGAAATGCAAGGTACGGACCCAGTATATCAACATATCTTGCTTAGCATGCGACCCGTCCTAGTGAACCCTTCCACTCACCAGATGCTTGTGTTCCCTCTACTGACTGTTGTTGTTTCCATTGAAGTAGGTAGTCTGACAGGATTTTGTGCATGTCTCCCCCATTTGTTCTGTGTGTGCGGTGAACATATGCTAGGTATTGTATAAAGTAACATTAGGGATTGGCTCCATTGCTGAACAAACACCAGGAGCTAGAAAGTCCTAGGCAAATCAGTAGATCTGTCCGTTTAGGGAGAATGCAGACTGGCTGGTACGTTATGTTCGAGACTTCGCTTTTATATTCCGTTCAGTTGTTTGCCGGAAGACAGGCGTTGTGAGATAGCGTGAGCATATCGACTCTTGTTGAGTCACCGTTACGCTCCGAGAATGAATTACCGGCAACTGAATAGCGGGTCAGATTTTGTGTGTTGTGAAGCGTTGTATGCATGGTTCCTGGAGAACTTTCTGCAGCAACTGTAATGCCTCCTGGAAAACTGTAACATCGAAAAGTGTTTTTACAGAGTCTTATTCGTGCCTTTTTCTAAATGTTATGAACGACATTGTGTATTTTCCGAATGTGACCCACCTATTTTGGTAGAAGTTTTGTCAAGTTGTCCGTTGAATTTATAAGTGATCCACTAACATCTACATCGTAGGATGTTTTTGAACAGGGTTTCATGCTTATTTTTCACTCAACCAAAAGCTGCCACCTTGACTTAGTGGTCAGCTGTGATTTCTGACGTGGTTCTGCGGGCTGAAAAATTGCTTTACAAGGTTTAACCACACTGCGAAGGCCAAAGGTATGCAGTTGGACAGAGGTCAGCGAGCCCTTTTATTTCCAGCAGTTGTGATGTGAGGCGGCCCGGAGACAAAGTCGTACCATCCGGTAGGATAGAAATTTTAAGTATATAAGTTGCTTCCTTCAGGCGACCAGCATGTCCATACTTATGGAAGCGGCCGTGCCGCCTTTCTCCGAGTATGGACGCGCTAGAAGAGGCTGGTCGAAAAGCCGCACCATCAGACCGACAGACGTCCGACCATGACTTCCGGCAAGTTATGCAATACGGTCCAACCACAGTTAAGACCTATCAAAACCCCGATGCGATTCAGAACGCATCTGGTTCAGAACACGGCAGCCTCAAGAGTGAGATATGTGAGCCTTACTCCGTGCACCAGTCCTCCGCAGTCGAACCGATTGGATGACTGTTGAGTTATTGCTTCCCGGAAACCCGCTCTTTTCCCCCAAGAAAACCCTATTACCGACTGCTCCATGGGTCAGACTTTAAATTCAAGGATTATGGTTCGGGTACCGGAACAAAGATGTACATTATTCCATGAAGCATTCGTCAACAGTCGGATAATCTCGGTACAGAATGTATGGAACAGAGATAGAATGCCGGTGGAACGGGCCGTCTTGACCATGATTCCACTGTTCACAAAAAGCACAACAAAGTCATACGAAAACCATTGTGGCACCCGCCTGGTAGTCGTCGCATCCAGAGTGCCCTCGATTTGATCGAGTACCCGGATAGACATATTTGTACGTCTTGACCATGATTCCACTGTTCACAAAAAGCACAACAAAGTCATATGAAAACCATTGTGGCACCCGCCTGGTAGTCGTCGCATCCAGAGTGCCCTCGATTTGATCGAGTACCCGGATAGACATATTTGTAAGAATCAAGCTGGGTTTCGCTCTGGCTGAGGGTGCATCAACCATATTTTCACCTTGACGCAGGGTGTAAGATAGCGCCACTTTTTAGGACGTTGTTTTTCTTGATTTTGGGGATAATTTTTGACTCTATAGATAGAAACCATGATGGCGTCTGGCGACTAAAGGTTTCTAAATTTTTATTCCGCTTGAAGGCAATGTAGTGTGGGTGCGTACGGGAATATAGCTTTGTTACTTTGTCATTTACGTGCTGCTTGAAAGTTCTCTGCCTGTCTCTGGAAATTCATGGATCGAAATACTCCCGGGGCGTTCGCAGATGATATTACTCTCTTGTGTTGACATCCTTCAGCGTTCCCAGTCGTTCTTAATAACCTTATTAATTCTGCACATCTGCGAACCGTAAATTTTCTCCGAAGCATTGACCGAATCAGGTGGAAACATTAACCTAGAAATCCTGTGTTACGTCGGTTAGTTCTTGGAGCATGAATCTTCCAGCGATGAATAAGCTACTCACGCTTCGTGGTTACTTCACTTCTCAGTGGGCTGCGTACCTTCGGAACTCTGAATAGGGATACTGGCATACGTGGGTCAATCTCGCTGTCAGTGGCGCCTCTGAATCATGCAGCTTCCTTCACTACACGACTACCGGTTCCTTCAAATAACTACGCTGATTCACTACCAGCTAAGTGATTACGCCATCGGCTTCAGTGCCAGGCTTTTTTGCAGCGACACCACTCATCTGAGAGTAGTCTATTGTACTACAATCAACAGTAGGTGTCTGTAAACAACTTAATTTCGTTCAATATTTTCCCTTTTAGAGAAATCGCTGCGTGTGCTGTCAGACAAAACCCTTTTGCTATGGACTACTTCACGTCAAACAACACCACTAGCCAGTAAGGAACTTGAAGCGGAGTCTTTGCTCGCTCTGTTGGAGTTGGAGGTCAATGATGGGTCGGAGTTTTCAGGTCTCTGCGCATCGGCTCGTTTGTTAGCATACTCCAACCAGCTAGGAAACATTCAGTCAGTTTCTGCGTTGCGACTGAACCCACGTGCCAGACCGACAGCTTACCCCTCTGGAAGCAAAAGTCATTCTTTCCAGTCTTCTATCAACAGCGGTTTGGAACTTTGGATCCAGCGTGCTGTACCTCCGCAACTCCAAAATGACGTCCCTAATCTCGTTCTTCTTTCCACTCACCCTCTGTGTGGTAAGCTATTTGATGTTTCCCAAGTCTTTTTGTCGATCCACAGCAATTCGACATGATGATTGAGCTTACGGCAGCGGAAGTTTACGTCCGGATTTATATGATGCCTTCACTTAACCTTTACTGGTAGGACCGGGTTTTTCGGTTTGTTTTGGAACCGCCAGTAATGAGCCTAGAGATATTTATGGCACCATCAGAAAGATACTACTTCTTACTGAGCGTCCTGATTAACCACTCACTTGGCCCCGCTTTGAAATTTCACGGTAGTATTACATTCCCTTAAAAACGTGGTAGACAATTTCAATGGATATTTGGCTTAATTGCTTGACTGACTTGCATTTACATAGATCACATCCGGTACTGGTTCGGTTATCATCCTGTAATCATCCAGATCAGGACACGGAACACGTTGCCAGCAATCTAAGTTTCCTACCTTTCACTGCTTATATTGATGTCAGACTGCACAGTATTCGATGGTTTATCATGATTCGAATTCAAATATTCATGAAGAAATCAAACTGCTCAACAATGGCACCATTGCCTTGCAAGTGTCATCAAGCGCTGGAGTACTGACTGGTTACCAAAGCTTAGACAGAAACCGTCGAAAAACCATGGTTGGATTCGAACAAGGGAGTTCTCAGTCATTAGCTCATCCTTCAACCTTTGAGCTACATCGCGCTCTTATATTCATTGTCTTTTTCTTTCGCTTATCCTATTTTCCTATATCTCACCTCGGTTTCGTTCACGAAATCCACAGACCGATATTTACTATTTTCCTGGCGAAATCAGGATTTTCTTGTACGTGACAATTTTGCTTATGGCTTCTTCTAGCTCCTCGTTTAGCTCTGGCGCCATCCGTGGACCTGGCCGCCTTGTTCTCCGAACAACACCTCAACGATCCTCGCCACTTTCAGACACGCCCATGCTATCCACTTGGATCCAAAGAGTGTCGTTCTGCAAAACTGGTTGCTTCGCAAGGGCTTCGGAGTACGTTGTTCGCCTACTTTCCCCACAACTGCTTTGTGACTAATCTTGAGCCCACTGTTTAAGGGAAACATCTGTATCCTTGGGGGACCTCGTATTTGCAGTAAGCGAAACGAAGTACCTGCCCTTCATGAATCATTTAGTACTGCAGTTAGACGGGGTTAACTTACATCTACGATTTATCGAGCATTTCTATATTGGCTCCTGAAGCCACTATTAGTTTCTCTGCACAGTGTCGCCCACCGAAACGACAATGTATTTAACTAACCAATGCTCTGTTAGGTCTTTCAGCCTCTTCCATTAACCAAATGACTTCCACTAGTTCGCATAACCCTCCGTTTTCACAGCCTTCTTCCCCAATAGGCAGAGCACCCTCTAGTTGGACCTTGTTTTTGGAGTTCACTTGAAGACCGATCCCTCACCTAGTCCCTAAGCTGCTCCCATGGAGACGATTACTCTCATAGCATATTTCACGGGGTCATGAAATAAACGGTCTACTAACTTGACCGTCGTATCTTAACCTTGTGATTTGGTGTCTCGACATATCGATCTGTGTGCGAAATTTTCTGTCCGTCCAACACCGATTGGTTGTCCAATGTCTCGGTTATCTTAGTTAAACGAGTAGGCGTTTACCTCTGATAAATGCGAATTAGTCTCTTGGCGTTCACATTTGGTGTATATGCCTGCTACGGTGAACAATAACAGTCACCATGCCTTTTTCAAAACCTTCTCTAGATCCACCCCTCACTCATAAGCGGCCGTTAGTGGAAACGTTTGAACAAGGAGTGGAAGTTGGTGTAGACTGTGTAAGTTTCGATTTGTTTGGTTCATTCTTCTTGGTGCTTTAGCTTGAGCGGAACCGTTTGATAGCCTCTTACAGAACTGCATTTTCCATAGTTATTTTCCATTTTCCGTAGGACGGTATTGTTGAGTCAAGTGATCGAACCCGATTAGTTAGCAATTACTCGTAATCTTGCTAGCCTCAATCGGTCTGCGTCAAGTTATTGTACTATTATGTGAACAGGATCATCCTAATAATCATGAAACGTAAGTCTGGTGAACCTAATGAACCTAGTGGCTCATATGATCTCCAGTGTGCCTAAAAGACGTTTACCTGTGAATTCTGTATACAATTTTCATTTCGTGCGTATGATGAGTGCGTTAGGAAGGTATTGCATGAACTCGGTGAACCATTCGGCTTACGTTACTTTCTGCCTGTCGTCGGAATATAGGTGGCCTTGTTATCTGTTCCATGCGGCCTAATCGTTACTCGATTGCCCGAACAATGGGGGATTTTGGATAGCATCACGAAGTTGGCCCACACAGTCGTAAACATATCGTCATGAATGGAAACACCAGCGAAGACATCAAGGTTTCATTGATGTGTGTACAGTCGCCGAAATTGAGGCTTCTCCTGATCATTGGTGAAAATGTGGTCGGTTTGTTGCAGTTATTCCATCTCACCAGGGCTGGGGTGCCCATACGTTTTAATCGCGGTTCTTATGACTATGAAGAGTAGAGCCACGTGATATGGTCAAACCTTTGTACAGTGACTACCTCTATACATGGACCACTTTCATGTACCTCATGGAGCTCTCATTTTCTCAGTAACGACAGTTGCGATGAGTCACCTTTCACCGCACTAGCTACACCGTTATTCCTCCAAAATTGAGGATTAAGCGTTTTTCTACACGGTGTCAATGAATTTCCTTTTAAAATACTATCTACAACGCGTGCCTCTTTAAAGCGCCCGCTTTCACTTTGTCTACCCAGCTATCGCTTTGAACTATCACTGTATCTGAATGAAAAAATTAACTGCTGGAATAGCATACATATCAAGCGTTGATATGCATACGTATACGGATAATTATCTTCATCAACACACTAAGGTGCCAATAGGGTGAAGCTTTATCAGATCTGAGCAACGGATTACTTACACTGTACATACTTGCCGGAATTGCAATTACTCAGACGCATTATCCTGACAAAGCCACAAGCCAACGGCATTGGATTAGTTTATTACGGCTGATTTCATGAAGCTGATGTGGATGCACTCGATAGTTAACCAGGCCCTGCGCGCCACTGTTGTTTCGGGGCCTACGTAATTGTATATGCCAAGTCGGGGATATGGTTAGGCCAGCTTCAATATGATTCATTAAGTTTACGAAACCCATGCAAGACTACTTCTAGATAGGTAACACTCACTCTCCATATGGGAGTCAGTGATATTCTGCTACCTGCGCATGTTTAGACGTTCGAATAAACTAAGACTCCGTTCTATTGTTACTCGTAGCACTTTGGTGACTACCTGGTATATACCATAGTTTGACGATCCCCGAAAGCAACTCGTACTTATTCGTTTGACTTTGAACAGTTGGTTGCATGGTGTGAGTAAAAATTGGATTTACTGGCCTTAAATGCAGCCTGTGGCAAGATGAAACAGTGCTTGGTGTATCGTACGTCTACATAATGATGCCCCATACGCACGCACCTCGAAGAAATTTAATACGTGATTCTACTTCATCTCACTTTCGATTGATCGCTGGATGTGTTAGTTAGGCTGATTAAGTTTTTGGCTACGACGGACTCAAGTAACCGTTTCTATCTTGTCTCTGCACACTGCCTTCTATCAGCGAAGATTATGTGCGAAGAGTGCCTATGTTTTCCTAATGAAAAGTGAAAACTATGCCGTACGAATATTTCGAAAGCTCTTCTCTTATTGTTACGGTTCCCTGGATCGATGTTGATTTAACCTTTTTTTAGCTGTTGATAGATCCGTCGTGCAGCTCATCTGAACACAGTCACTCTGAAGCAGGATTATCCCGACTACAGGATCTCCCATCCACATCCACATGTATGGACAGTAAGTTATAACATCACTTCCATTGTGATCCATTTTGTCTGTTAATAAAAAACCATATACCGAGTTTGGTGACCAACTCGCCATCCTTTTCAACGATGTATCCCAGTTTAGAAAAGCGACTCCGCAGTGCCGGTTTTGTCGAGCTAAAATTTTCTTGGAATGGTACCCGTATTCCTGACGTCTCAAATATCGCGCTCCCTTCTCTTCAAAGAAAGCGCTCCTTCGGAATAAGCCAAAAACGTTCTATTTGAAAAGAGGCACACAGTTTGGACCTTGCTTTGATAAAATTTTTTCGGTACAGCTGTAAAGGGACGCAACTGACATGAAAGTGCGTAGATCAAGGGGTTGTTCTACTTGGAGACTATCACTGCGCAGGTCGATCGGGGAAATAGTAACTTAGCAGCTCCATCACCGATCATCTTTTACAGCGAGACCTGCGTTTGACTAGTTTAACCAACTGTTGGAGAGTACGGTACCTCATCAGCATAGGGCACTGCTTGGTTGGTTTTGAGTTTTACCATAGTCTGCTCTTTGCTTTCCAGATCTGAGAAATTACTACGCGAACCACTAAGCATTATGAAACTTACTCATATCTCATCTTCATGCTATATGGCCTTACATTTAGCCCTAACACCCATGAAACCAGACCAGTTTTATCTAGTGCTGACGTAGATGGTATCCAAACAGTACTTGAGCCAAATTGGATGTTTTTATGCGCTTCAGCTCAGATGTTCATCCATGGAACGTGCACGTGAAGGCCCGTGTCTGAGTAAACGAAGTAAGATTGATCAGACTCCGATCCACTTCTGTGCACGTATAGGACTGCCACCAACCAATAAGTGAATTATAAAAACCTTACCCTACTGTGTGTTCTCGTATTCCCTTACACTGGTCTTATTATTGGTGTCTGAAGCAACAGATTTTGGACGGATATATCGGCTATTGTCTCCCCGGCTAAGCAGACAGAGTATAGAGTGACCGCCAAGCTTCTCTGTTCCTAAGGAACAGTGCAAATTAACTTTGGACCGAACCATTTCGCTCTCCTACTTGGAGAACACTTCTCGGATGTTTCTGTCTAGGCTTGGGTAACCTGACAGCAGCTAAATCTTCATGTTCCCATCAAATTGCACGACAGCAATACGCCGGACGGTGTCAGCTGAGCGATTGTCGTACAGTACCTGAATTATCCACGCTGGTTGGTTAGTAGTTGAAATATCTTCTCCTGAGGGTTATCACCATTTTTGATTGTTTGGATGTTAACGATTCGTTATTCTTCCGTATTCAGATGGAATTACGAACGAAACACCCGTTATCCAAGGGCAGAACAAGCAGTCGGAGCAGGTTTGTGCAAAAACAGGCGACATCCAGAAGAGTAATTCAGAGTGAGTTGTAGGACAACTTTTCCATTCTAAACCGGCTTCTTCGGAAGGAGCCCACTCTGCGTGACATTAACATGTCTAGCATTCTAGATGGGGCTATTACATCAGGATGTAACGCTACTGGGAGTACCCTTCAATCCCAACGGACTATGCTATTTTTCGGCTGTTTATCACTGATGCAAGGAGCCTGAAAATCACAATATCCAAACAGGATAAGAGCTGTTGGTGAGCAATATAACTCCGAAAGAAAAGTACCCTGGCACCTAATTCAACCTTCTTACTGTTGGACCGACTGCATATTCCTGTTATGATAAAACAATTTCCGGGAGCTCGTGGGGGCACTGCATGGTTGGCCAATCGTATTACTTATACCCTGAGTTCAAATATGAGAAAGTCGGTATTGACGCTCTTGGTCGGTATTAGGTCCCTTTCAACAGAGATGGCTCAAGTTGTTAGACGCAAATTTACCTGAGTTCAAATATGAGAAAGTCGGTATTGACGCTCTTGGTCGGTATTAGGTCCCTTTCAACAGAGATGGCTCAAGTTGTTAGAACGCAAATTTACTGACCGGAAGGTCCGTGGTTCGAACCCGACCTCTGCCTCTCGACTTCCCGTGCATAGGCTCGGGCTGGCAGTATCCCAGCCCTCGTGCTTCCTTCGGATGGCATGGCAGCTAGGCACCGAAAGGGTGCTACAGCTGGACGATTTTTTTCCTGTCAATACCCAGTTTTCCCACAACCATCTCAAACTTAATGCAGTTCACTGCACCGATTTGCAGAGCATCCCGAACGTTTCACGGCGATACAACGAGTCCGTGATAACATATTAGTTTGTATCGCCACGCATCAGTACACGAGGTCGTGCAAACAGAAACGTAGCTCACCTACGTATCGCTTTATTTTTGTAACAGTTGATCAGTGATAAATTGTTCCAATGCGTTGTACGCACTGTTAATCTGTTCAAGCCGTTTTCTGCATCATGTGACTTCTCAGAGAATGTCACCGTTTGACAGTCGATGTTTGAATGGCATTATGTCTGGAATGCTGCGAACGGGTCGTTATAACGAGTCTCAATGTTTTGTGAATGTTCGGGGTGCTGGTGTGTTGCGTGTCAACGATTTGGGGCGATTAAAGTAGATTGCGAGACGAACTCTGTACGCCAAGCCATTGGTGAAGCATTACTTGCGAAACGCATGCGTTCAATCCACTACGTTCAGTACTCTCTGTAGCACACGACCGGTTTAACTTTACAGTCAATTCGCAACACCTAGTCGATCACTGAATCCAGAATTTCAATTGTTTCAGCTGATTCCACCAACTGCACCATTTTACTTCGATTCGTCTAATTGTGATAGAATGAAAGCTGATGAGAGTTGAGCGCAATCTAGTATCTTCTCGTATTTATCTTCTTATTTTCTGGCCTCGGATAAGCAACTGCGAACTTCAGTTACTCATAGGACCGCTCTTTATTGAGATGATGACCGGCGTCAACGTATCATCAGGTGGAAAGGAAAACAAGTCTGTATACTTGTTATTCCCCATGTATGTCGCTGATGTCAGTGAGAGGATATCAGTGATAGTAATGCCTCCTTAGGAAAATTAGTGTGAAGTGAATAAGATGGAAGATATACTCCAGCAATACTGTTTTTTTTTGCACATCCCGAAGGTGACCGTTGACCGTTTGATGGAGTACTTTGGATGTTCTTCTGAATGCTTGATGCTGCTAATTGGTGGAAACCATCAGTGATATTCATCAGAAACATTTCTAAAGAAATTGACTAATGAACCTGGTGTCAGATTTGACGTTTTATCAAGTATGGTCCCTGTGGTGCCATGAATTCCCTGTATCGTTGTGGTACTGTGGTCTGTTTTCACGGACGTGAGTATCATCATCATCATGGACCGCATGACATCAGTGTTCAGCACCGATGATTTGCTGCCGTGCAGCCATGATTTATCTGAGAACCTTATTGTGGGGAAAAGAATAAAGGTGGACGGTGAAGGGACTTAGTGCTAGCTTACTACAATCATCCCGACGTGCCTACACCTCCATACACTCATTCAGGCAATCTGGATAGAAAAGAACAGCAAGATCGCCACTGACATCGGTTGGCAGCCATATCTTCTAATGTCTCTTCTAAGATAAGCACAATGTCGTCTGTATATTCCAGCTCGACAGGGTTTTCGTCTCAGGCTATATAAGCACTGGGGTTTTGGAGACCTTCCAGCGTTTGTCTCATGATTTGATCGATCACGAAGTTAAACAGGAATGGGTAGAGTGGGGATTCCTGACGAACATCACTTTGTGTATGGAAGCCCTTGGAGAGCTCGTCGTATACTCTCACACGTCCGGAAGTCTGGGAATACAAAGAGCTTATTGTGTCCACAAACCTCGGGGACATTCCTTGCTGCCCAAGCGTGTGAAGCAGAACAGACCGATCAGCCGAGTCAAATACGGACGTG